GCCTTAGCCGGTTGAGCTATAGGCGCCGAGCCAAGAAACTAATTTTTTAATTTAGTCCCCAAATAGCTGGGACTACAGGTACCCTCCCCCCACCACGACACCTGGCTAGTTTTTCTATTTTTTAGCAGAGGTGGGGGGGGGGGGTCCTAAGAAATCCTGAGATCTGAACTCAAGAAAACCACCCACCTTGTCCCCTCCACCCCACCCTGGTCCCCAGAGTGCTAGGATTACAGGAGAGAGCCACCCTGCCCAACCTAAAAATTACCCTTTAAATCAATTTAGACCAAGGCTCTCAACTGTGGCCATTATGCTCTAGCAGATATTTAGCAATATCTGTAGACTTTTTTTTTTTCCTTTTGGAGATAAGATCTCACTATATTGCCCAGGCTGGCCTTCGACTCCTGGCCTCAAGTAATCTTCCTGCCTCAGTCTCCCAAGTAGCTATGACTAAAAGGCATGAACCACGATACTCAAGTATCAGCAGTTTTGATTGTCATGTCTGATATCTGGTGCCTTTAAACATTCTATACTGTACAAGACTCCTCCCCTACAACAAAAAATTATCTGCCTCAAAATGTCAATGCTAAAGCAGAAAAACAATAGTGTTGAAAAGTATAGTAATGTGACCACTAATATAAGCAAAGCATAGAATATTTCCATTCTCAGTGCTGGGCTCAGTGGCTCAAGCTATCCCCCCGCCTTTGGCTCCCAGAGTACTAAAATTACAGGCGAGGCCGAAGTGGGTGGATTGCTTACAGGTTCAAGACAGCCTGAGCTAGAGCAAGACCTTGCCTCTAAAATAGCCAGGCGTTGTGGTGGATGCCTGTAGTCCCAGCTACTCAGGAGGCTAAGACAAGGGGATCACTTGAGCCCAAGAGTTTGAGGTTGCTGTGAGCTGTGACATCAAAGCACTGTACCAAGGGCAACACAGTGAGACTGTCTCAAAAAAAAAAAATAAAAGAGAAAGAAAGAAAAAAGATATCCTATGTTTAATATTAATTACCTGCTTTTTTGCTTATATTGCATATTATTTTCTTTCAATCTTTTTTTTTTTTTTTT